GGAAAAATGGAGGAGGAGAAAATAAATGGAGGGGAAAGGGGGGAAAGAGGGGAAATGTTTCTGTTTCCAAAACTAAAGAAAAAAGATCAAAATAAAAAAAATCAAATGATCTGCAAAAAAATATTCGGGGGGGTCCCCCATCAAAACCAGTTTTAATGCCATTTTCTCCACCATCTGTATTGATTTGTAATTAATTTTGCATTCAAATGGAGGCACTAGGATATGTGGGACAAGATTGTTAAAAAAAACCTGATGCCAAGAAGTGAGGCTTCTCAGTCCATCATTAAACACCTCAATGTATGATCCAGTGTTTAAGGATATTTAAAAGTGCTGAGCATGCAGCAGCTCCCATTAAATTTCACACTCTTGGGGAAAGTCCTATTGTCAAGGGAGTTTTTTCACCCTTTTATTTGCAGGTTACATTCAGTAATTCCTTCCTTTGGGTCACAGTAAAGGCCAGAAGCAACACCTTCCATTTATACCAGATGCGCTAGTATAAATTCATAGGAACTCCACTAACCTTAATGTGCTTAGGTAGATACTCTGGATTTGCATTGCGGTAAATGAGATAAAAATTTGTCCTCGTCATGGGAGCCACGAGGAGGTCAAATGCTTTACATACATTACCTCCTCCTTGGAATCCTAATAATGTGCAATTTTCAAATGCTCTTTCCCAGACACTATAGTTCCAGTAACTGTACTAAATGCATTAAAAGGCTCTGATGCAGACTTTTACCTCTAAAGCAGATGAACACTCAGCTTAGCTGGTGGGATAATTGAGGCAAACTGTAGTTTTGTGGGTTGAGGGAGGAAAAGATTTTATGAGACCATTAGATGAATCGGCGTCATTTTATATTACCCCTTTCATTTACTGGGCATTTCATCTCCTTTCCAACTCCCCCACAACAATGTATGTCAGCTAATTAAACTGTCAAATACCTCATTTGAAAAGTATATACATATTGCATTAGCTAAGAACCCAACATAACAATGTGGGAGGTGTGTTATGATAAAACTTTGGTCTAAACTCTTCTGAAGTCAAAGAGAGTCTCTCCCTTGACTTCAGTAATTCTGAATCAGACCCGTAACCGCAAACAGCTAGAAACTTGATATCTGAATGGTGTAGTAATTCCTGTCTTTTAACCAAGGTTTTTTTTCTGAACCAGTATGTGAGAGAATGAAAACACTCTGAAAGCGCACAATGACTTTATAATAAGTGGCTCACTCTAAGTATCAGTGGAATCCAGTTGGTTAGTCCATGGGAAGGTGTTTCCTGTTCTCGACTTTCTAAATGATTTTGCCCCTGCTCAGGTTTGTTTTGTGCGTGTAAAGTCCCAAACAACAGCGGGCCCCTTTTGTTAAAATCTGCCAGAAAGAGCTTACAGACTAATCAGACAAGACATAGAAAGGGTAGAAGAAAGGAAGTATCATTATCCCCATTACATTTCAATCCCCAGAAACTGAAGTAGAGAACAACTAAGTGACTTGACCAAGGTCACACAAAAAATCTGTGATACAAAACCAAGCCTGTGTTAAAGCAAGACATCTCTCCTTCCCTTCTATAATAGGAAGCATTCAATTTCCATCTTTCAGTGACAAAAACTTGCAGGTGCCTTAAATTATAAATGTTAATAATCTGACTTCTGTCTCTCTGTCTCAAGCTGAAAATTGGAAATGCCCCGTATTGTTCCTGATTTCAGATGTGTCCAACCATCTGTTAATGGTTTTCCTGAGGTTACCTGTTACAGATAGATCTTTTGAACATAACCTGAAGCACATGTGGTTTTAAGATAGACGTGAATTAGAAACATTTATAGTGTCAAACGTATGATTAATGCATGGGGTTTTAATTGAAATGAATCAACATTCCTGAAGTGTGCTCTGCTTTCCTGATGTAAGATTTCTTGGGATAAAGAGACTTTTTTAAACAAAAAGGCCAAAGACACAACCCATTTAGATGAGCTGTTCTGCAATGAAGTCAGTGGTGTTAATTTACATTGCCTTCGGATTTGGCCCAAAGGCTGCAGGCTACATAAAATAATAATAATCATAATAAAAAAATACCATGACACTGATCTACCATACTTCCTTATTAACAAACATAGCTGCAAGGAATTTTGAAAAGATGATTAAGAATGCTCATCATTATTGTTATTATTATGATGTATTATTTGTAATGTTCTTTTAATTTGCCTAGCAGTCATTTGCCGAGAAAAATATCTGGCTTTGAGTTTACTCCACTGTTATCTTTTTCACTTTTATTATAATACAGAATTTTTATGGCTTTAACCCTTGGGAGACTCCCATCCATCCTAGTTTTCATGAGAGGAAATGGCTTGTGACTGCTGCACAGAGAACATGAAGGTGTTTCTTGGATCCATCATCTTAAATTTTGACTGCAGCATTTATAAGGATCTTCACATACTTCATTTAACTGCTTTTGAAATCTGTATCCAGGACTTTTCCACCCGTCTTCAGGTCAACACTAGGACAGATTTGCATTGGAACTGAGTGGTGGGAAGCGAGATCCCTGGAGTCCAAATCAAATATGGTTTGAACACAGCTATACATCTAGTTTACTTCATTTCTGATAAAGCATCCCAAGATGTGTTATTGTCAGTGATCTATGAAGTGTTTCTCAGGAGCAGCATAACCATCCAATAGCACATCCTTTATCTAGGCGGCTCTTGTTTTAACCTTTTATAGCATAAGAAAACTCTACAGCTGAGCTTTGTAGAAAAATAGTCTGTGATCACATCATTAAAGTCTGTATCATAATGTATATGTACATACATGTTAAAGGTATGAGCTGAACTGCCCATTGGGCTAATGCGGATAAGACACACCAGTTTCTATAGCCAATGGCCCACCAAGAAGTAATGTGGCTAGCACCACATCTGGCTGCCTTTGACTCAGTCCAAGCGACTAAAAGAACATTTATAGCTGGATTGACCAGGATCCTTCCCCACAGGTCTGGTTATCTCATGCTCATACCTCAGAAGCTGTATGAAGATGCCTAACATGCTCACCTACCACAGCCTTGCATCTATGCATGTAGACAGCCCTAATTCTGGCATTTCCTACCATTTCAGGGGTTGACTTTGCAGTCTTAACAATCTTTTAACCTAGTTTTTTTTAAATGTAATTATAGATGTGGTTTGGATTGAGGTTGCCTGACACATCCCATTATAAAACCCTTTTTTCACTTGCATATAACTTTGCCAAACTTTAACTACTTGAAGCAAAATGTTATGAGCCTGATTTCTGTATCAGGCTGAATTTTATTTGTACCTTATATTAAAACAATTTGGTTCATCTCTGAAAAAAACGAGGAGAAAGAATTTTTTTTGTCCGTGGCAAAAAATTCTGGTAACCTGTTCTTTAAAAGTAGTAGAGTTCCCATGCTTTAGCAGGGAATTGAAATCTGGAGGTGCTGATGTGTCCTCTTCAGTCCTTGGGGAATTAATTCCTTTGAGAAATTCTGATGATATTTGGCCAAGTGAAAAGACTTTGGAAAATTGAAATGTGCATGTGCTCAGAAGACACTTGGTAGGACTTTGCAGCTAAATCTCTTGAATATACACTGCGTATGGTCTAGTCCAGGACAATAGGAGCTGAGCTGCAAGGACCCAAGGTCTCTCTGTTCCTCAGCTGCCAATAAATGTCTCAGCAATATTCTAGCAGTGTCCTTTCGCAGCTGTTCCCCAGACTGCCACCCTTTACTCCATTAGTTCAAACACCAGAGATCTGTGCAACGAATATAAAGATTTCAGCTCTGCCTATGGGCTATGTGGGTGTCAGCATGATGCCCCTTTATTATATTTCTGCTTAGGACACCTCTTCATATTAGGCAAGCCCAGGTGCAGCCTGTATGAAATGTGTAAGCGCTCTTAGTCAAATATCTGTATCGCAAGTTAGCCTTTTTTTTTACACTAATTGACCTCCTGTGTATAAGATCGATATGTACATAGATGCTGAGTTTGAATTTACTTTGGAAAAGCCACCAAAATCACACTCCTTCCGAAAATCTTGTCGAAGATTTTGAAGTGACCTGTTCAGATTTTGGGTGCTCGGTTTGAGCCACCTTCAGTTGCCCTGAAGTGTTGAGCACTTTCAATAAATCACTCCCCTTGGAGTGTCAAGAGGCATATTAAAAACACCAGCACCTAAGCACCAGTTTACTTGAAAATCTTAGCTTGACTCTGAAAAAGTCTCATCACCCCCAGAGAGGACAGGCTGGCCCATGAGATTTCCTGCACCTAGCCCTACCGCTGCCTTTCTTCTATTAGCTTTCCCAGTCTCAAAAAGACATCTATTTCAGGATTTGTTTCTAAAAATGAGCTATATTTTGGGTCCTTCTTTCTTTCCCTGGACAAACAGGACTCTCCAAATTACACATCACCCCTCAGAAGCTAAAAGCCATGAACAGACTGCTCAGAGCACAGAAGTGCCGCTGCGCAGCAGGAATCACCCACTTGCTCCTGTTTCATAAGTCCCCAAAATGGGGCGATGTAGCTGCCTTCAAGTCATCCTGAGCATAAGCCTAGCGCCGCATTTAGGTTCTCTGTCTTGAGTATGCTTACTAGCACAGTGACTGGAGCTAATAGGCTTCCCTATTTAAAAAGAAAAGCTGCTTTTAGGTTCAAAGAGAAGGAACTGACTTTTTTTTTTCTTGTTCTCAGGCCTTTCCTTGTCTCCTTTTTCCAAACCCTCCCTCCCACTTTCCTGAGCACAAAGCCCTCGTTCTCAACGCCGATGATTATAATCATTCTCATTTGTAGCCAGCTGAGAAGCTCCAAAATATCTTTCCCTTTAGCCAGTCTCTCTCTCCCGGTGAGGGAGAATAAATATGCAAGTACATGAAAAGCACAAGGTTCCAGTCAGTAATTTAATTTAACCCAAATATGGAGTCAAGTTGATGATTAATATAATTTTTTCGCTGAAATGAATATGAAGATTGAGGGGCTCTTTTAGTTTTGGTCTCGTTCCATTTATAAGAAGCTAAATGCGCATTGGCAGCGAATGGTGATGACGACGATGACAACGATCGTGGCGAAGGCCGTTAAAGCAGCTGTATGAAGCACTTTGGATTTGCTCCAGAGTCTACTGTTCTGTCCTGAAATATGAGTCATGTTTACAGGCCTGACTCCAGCTTCCCTCTTGTGACTGTTGTTGTTCAACCAGCGAAAGTGTTTTGCTTCACTCAAGCCAAACAATATGCAGAGCTACAGGGGATTGACACGGACATGTGTTGTGCAACAGGCGCATCTCCAGGGAGAAACACAATATCAGGCTGAAATGCAGCGCTACATGCACCTGCCAGAGCTCACAAGCCTCCTTCCCCCGTGGAGGCAGAAAGGAAACTTAAATGCTCTGGGGTGTCGGTGCAGGGATTTGGTGAGCTACACGTTACTTCAGCTATGTCAGAGCTGAAGCCTGCGAGGTGGCGGGAAGCAGGATAGGAATCAGAGCCATGGGCACTTTTACTTTTGCAAGTACAGCAGCGCCAGTGCTTCAAAAAGCACCCATTGCTGCAACGCTTGCAGTTGTGTAAGTGGTGAAATGCACATCAGCATTGAGAAAATGGCACCTTGGAGGTGCTTGAGTCCCAAAGCCCGCCACCACCATTTTCTGCACACTGATGCGCATTTGGCCACTTTTACTGCACGTGGCGCAGCACAGTTCACCTCTGCTTGTGTGCAGGGCAGACTGGATTAACTGAGTCGGCTCAGAAGCGGTGGGTCTCTGGTGAGACGCCAAACAAAAAAGTCTGTGTATAAATGTCCAATATGATTGCAAGGCTTTCCCTCGTGGATTTTTGGTGTTACAAAACACTCATCCGTGCCACTGAGATTCAGGGTGGCTAGCCACTAATGTGCCAAATTCATCTCTGCAGTTTTAAGTTACTTTCTTGGTGGCTCATGAGATACCATTTAGGTTGTGAAGTCAAAGGCCGTTAACCACAACATGTTAGTGTGTACCATTGGCTGTTAAATCTGGTGTGCTTTAACCATGGTAGTCTGATGGGCTGTTAAACCCAATGGACCTTTGGCTATAACTGCTTAGATGCTGGGGCAGGTGGGGGGGCAGGCATCCAGGAAGGGGGCTGGAAGGTATAGAGGTGCTTTGAGTAGGGGCTCTGCACAGGTGTCAAAGGGATGGACCCCCTGAACCACCCCCTCAGCTGGTCTATACTGATGCACAGGCTTCAGTGGAGCACTGCTGATTTATACCAGCTGGGGATCGAAGTAGCTGTAGTATTTGCCTAAAACGAATAATCAAAATCCAGTAAAAATAAGCATTCAAGAACAAAAACCCAAAGGAGCAATCCTGCTTTAATTTAGAAGGAAGGACAAGGTGACCCATTCTCGGGGTCTTCCCATTTCCAATTATTTTAATCCTCTGATTCCCCACACTGCTGTACTGTGAAATTCATTTGAGACATCAAAGTGGGATTGTGCATCCAACTAGAATAAACTTACAGTCCAACAAAAGACCTCCCTGCCTTTTCCACCTCCCTGCCTTTCAGCTCAGCGTCCTGTGCACTTGCTTAAGAGCTTCATGGAGATAAAGCATCCAATTGGTTTGCTGAGAAATCCGGATTGAGGCTCTTTAGCGGGTTTTAGTTTTTTAAATCCAAATAGAAAAATCATTTTTCATATCTATATTAATAAAAAAAATCTGTCATTTAAATCCTGTTCTAGCAATTAGCTCCCTGCACAGCCCTGCTTTAAAGTGCTCGCTTTTCATTGTTTGCTCCTATTCATACCACTGTAAAGTTCATTAAAATCACTGCCGCTATCTCACAGAGAACAACTGCTCAAGACATCAGTGTCATGCAGTCAGGAAATTTATGCTTTGAAGTTTCCCTTTTATTCATTTGTATCAGTTTTTTTTTTTTAATGGCTAAACCAGTTTTATGCTTTTCACAGTTATTCAGAAATCTGTTCCTCCTGACACCGAGCCGATACATCATCCCTTGCA